GCGCTCAGAGCCGCGCTCAGAGCCGCGCTCAGAGCCGCGCTCCGCTGCTCCGCTGCTCCGCTGTTCCGCTGCTCCGCTCTGCTCCGGCCGCGCGGCCGCCGCTGACACCGGCTATCGAACCCCCGTGATTTTGTTCAGCTCTATTTTGTTTTCTTTGTGGTTTCCCCGTGGGGCTCTGCTGCACCCCGTGAGCGCTATAATCTCGTTTAAATGACTTGCCAGACCACACAGCATCGCATTAACGTGCGCCGCGTGGACCCGCGATGTTGTTATGGTCCTGGGTGCTCTCCGCTTCCGAAAAGCAGGATGCGGGGGGTGGAGGTGGCAGCAGCTTTGCAGCTCGCGCAGGTGGAGAAAGGAGTTTCCCTCAATGGGAATGGAATGGAGGGAAAATAGATGCACAGAAATCTCTGAGGAAAATATGAAGTACGTATCAGGCAGACCACAGGTTTTCCACCCACCTGAAATGGTTTGCAGTTTTATAATTGATTTTTATGCTTTATGAGTAAATAATCTCAGCTGTTCAGATTTGGGATGATAGTTAACTCTACATCTATTATATTTGATATATTTGATTTTTTACATTGCGGTTCAGGCATGTAAAATAAATTTAGTAATTCCAGTACCCCCCAGCACCTCTGTATTTAAAACTCCATGTGGTTTACTGACATCACTGAGAAGTGTAAGCATACCTGCTATATCTATGCACGTTAAATGATGATCACTATTTACAGTTCTATTGATAAGAAGGAGGCAATGGCTAAGCTCCTTACTCCATAAATTTCTATTAAAGTCAGCAAGCATTTGCTTGGCCGAGGCCGAGGGATTAATCCTTGATTCAAAGTTCGTGGAATTCACTAAGAGCCTTTCCTTTAGTGCCATGGCACATCTGGACCAGGCCCAATCTTATTACTAGAAAAATTATATTCCCTTGTTCTCAGATAATCTCTTAATGGCTGATTGAAGGAAAATATTCCAAACAATAAATGCAGCAATGTTAAAAAAAAAAAAAAAGTTAAATAGCTCTTTCTTCCCTGTGTTACTTACTCCTTTTCTCTGCAAGAAAGAAAGGAAACAGTAGACGGAAAGATAACCCTACAGAAATGTGTGCTGCCCTGCTGCTGCGATGGCTGTCATGCGGCTTGTAAAGGTTTGTGGCTGCCTCGAGCAGCGCTACAATGGGCATATTCAGAGCAATACAGAGCTGTGACCTGCAGCCACGAAAATAACTAATAAAAGGGATATGCAGATGTCTGCAAGCGAAGAGAGGGAGCATGAAAACATAGAAGCAAAAGGCGTCTGAGACCTGGGGGGTCTCCTCGCTGCTGAGATCCCATCCAGGCATTTGGTAGGCTGAGCTCTTGGAAAAGGGTTGCTCCTTTCCTGGCAACCCAGTGTTTCCAGAATCAGCTCCAGAGCATTCCTATAGATATAAGGAAAAGTGTGGTGCAACCGGGAGAGGTGCTCCTGGTTGAGCACCGGGAGGAGAGGCTCATACTGGATTTATCTTTGAGCAGAACGGACCCACTGCTCAGATAAATCTCCTTCTATTTTTTAGCATTTCTCCCCCCATTACTTTTGCCACGGGAAGCTTGGTCTGATCTCAGCCCTGCAAACCTCCTGGAATTGCGTTACCTGGATATAAAAGATCACTCTTCCCCCAAGCTGGATCAACCCTTGGCAAAAGCAGATGACAGGCTTAGGGATCAGGCCCAGGTCCATGGATGCTGCTGGCTGAAGGTCAGGAGTCGAGAAGCCGAATGTTGCCTGTAGGGAGATGTCATGTGCAGGAACATGCGTCCCTGCTTGAAAGAACCTAGTGGCAGGTGTAAACTGCACTAAACTGAAGCCTGATAAATGTTGCTATTATTTTTTGTTTTATTTATTTATTTATGAAAGAGTACTCCAGATCAAGGTTTGCACCACATGGCTGGGGCTTTCACAGGAAATCCTCTTTGTGGTTTTAGGTTGTACTAAGGTGGCCGTAAGGAAGCATCTCAA